TATGAAACAAATATATATTCATATATATGTTCATATGTTTCATATTCTATCATATTTGAAAATATATTGTGTTCTTGGTTTATGGACTTGATAATATGTTTTTATATCTTTTCCTAAGTCTATAAAGCCATACAAAAGTTTCCAAAAGTTGTGTTTATGTCAAAACATCAAAATTCATGTATATCAACTTTTCATGTTTTGGACATACTTGCAAAATACATGAGTTTTCACAATTAGGAAATGAAATTTAAAAAATTTCTTCGTTTACATGTTTATATTCATATATACAAACATTTCCCCAAGTTTTACTAATTTTGGAGTTGTTTTGTTATTTTCAATTGAATTTACAAAACCGAGTTTTCAGCAGTTTTTTAGAAACTGTTTATCTGTGTTCAAATATTTATTTCTCTCAATTGAAAAGTGATTTTTCAGAAATTCTTTCTCTAACATGTTAATATACATGCGTAGAACCTTCTCTCAAAATTTCATGATTTTTAGAGTTTATTTACTATTTTTATTTGATTTTACAAAGTCAGATACGCATTTTTCCAGAACTGCAGAAACTGCTTGTGCATGTTATAAGTCTACTCTAAGTCGACTTATCATAAGTCTACTCTAAGTCGACTTGTTATAAGTCTACTATAAGTCGACTTATAAACTGTCTTTCTGCATGTGTTTTTCTTTCTGTCAAGTCGACTTGTGTCACCTCTCCCACCTAACCAAGAGAATTGTTTAAACAAGTTTAAGGGTGTTTGTGTTTGTTTAAAAGAGTGTTTAAGAGTTTTGTTTGTGAAGCAAATTTCACAAGAGCAAGTGGAGATCATCCTTGGTGTTTGAGCATTCATTCTTCTCCCTCTCTCTTGTCATCTATAGAGAAGTTTCCTTAAACTCAATTCTAGCATTTTATAAGTTTGTTCTTAATTTCATAAGCTAGATTTCATATTGAGAGTTTAATTGTTTTATTGATATCTCTTTGTTCACACACAACCTATTGAGCTTATTGTATTTACATTCATAGTATAATTTTGGGTTGTGGGGTTTGTGACTTAGAGTTGTGCTTAATTGAGTTCTCGCCTTGTATTAGAGAACAAATCTTGTGTTGTGAGATTTAATTGTGAGGATCACCTTGTATTACACTAGTACACCAAGAGGAGTGTGTGGTGAGAGACGGGGTTGTCCCAAGAGGAGTGGGGTAGGTGATAATGCCTAGAGAGAGGTTATAATTCCTAACACTTGAGGGAGACACGGGCTAGAGACCAACACTTGAGGTGGTAGTTAGTGTAGTTACATTGTGTGGATTGTAAAGTTTTCGGTTAGCTAGAAAACCGTATTGTGAGGTATAAACGTTTTTCGGGTAAGCGTAGAAAACCCGGTGTGATAGTGGAGATCTCCTCGAGGTGAGGAGCGGGGACGTAGGTCAGGCGGACCGAACCTCGTGAACATATAATTTGTTTGTGATTGCATTGGCGTACTTTTATATTCGTGCTTATTATTCATATTGTCTTTGTCAATTGCTCATTGTTTATTTTACCCACTATCTAGTTTTGTTTGTTCACCCTTGTGTTAACTTGTATATCCTTGCTCACATATTGTTCATAAGTTATTTGCTAGGATATATTTGTTAATAAGTTTTAAATTGGCATAAATCGGATTAGATTAGCATAAACCCTATTCACCCCCCTCTAGGGTTCCTTCCTAGCGGTATTAGGGTACTTTCACAGATTCTGCAAATGAGTAGTTTTACCCTGCTAGAAGTTGGTAAGTGATTATTTTTACGGTTTTGCCTTTATGTATAGTTTTCTAGTTCAGAATCCCATCATGCTATGAAGTTATAGTTCTTTTGCTCAATTTAGTATAGTTTGACCAGATTTTACTTTTATAATTTTGCTCACATCACCTCAGTTGCTTAATATATGAGGCTTAAGTATGTGCATAAGAACCCATTTGACCGATTTATAGTTTAGATAGATGAGTCTTAAGTATGTGCATGAGGACCCTTTTGACCTAGTTATCGTATACATACTGTCAGTGAGTCGTGTTCCCATATCCGTAGCTAGGACATAGGGCGTGATAGTTTATGAGAAAGTTCTTGTGATAGTGTAGTTAAGTGATCATTGATTTTATCATTTTTATTTTTTGAATTATTCAACTCTTGAGTGAACACACTAATTTTTGTCGTACGAGAAGAACATTCATTGCAATCATTAGATGAAGGGTTTAAGTTTATTGTATTAGATACACTCAATTCTAAAGTAGAAGTTTCTACTTCTCAAGAAGTTATATTTATCAGCAAATTTTTCAAACTGACTTATCTAAATTGTCTAAGGTGTCATCCTTGGCCATGAGACGCTTACTTCTCTTATCCTCACTTGATCTTGTTTCTGACTTATCATCATCACTCAAGAAATCTCATGATGTTGCCTTGAAGCTCTTGTTCTTCCCTTTATGATCCTTGTTCGTGAGAGGACATTCATTTTTTAAATGATCGGGTTTCTTGCAACAAGGACAATCCAATTTAGCATCTAAATTTTTATATTTATTTTTTTCTTTCCTTCGAGAAGCTTTGGTTGTCTATTGCATATAAACTATAACTTATTATTCGATCTCAGGAACTATTTGAAACGTTTGACCACTAGCCCATTTTACCTATACCTTCATCCTCTGAGTCCAAGCTTACCTCCTTCTTCGCCTTACTCTTCTTAGACTAAAGAATCATTGACTTCTTATTTAAGCCACCTTCAGATTCTCCTCTCTCTCTCTCTCTCCTTCAGTCTTACTTCATAGGTGATAAGGTTTCCTATAAGGTTCTCAAAATTTAATTCAAAAAAATTAAAAAATTCCTTAATGGCCATTACCTTTGGTTCCCAGTCTTTGGAAAGGGAATGAAGGACCTTTTTCACAAGCTCTTTGTTTTCATTGTCTTTCTCCAAGGCATTTGATGTGTACACAATGTCCTGAATTGAGTGAACATGTCTTGAATGCTCTCTGAAGAGTTCATCCTGAAATTTTCTTACTTGCTGAGAAGCATGGTAAGTTTAGCCTCCTTTACTTGTAATGTCCCTTCATGTGCATCTTCCAAGTTATTCCAAATTTCTTCCACAGTAAACCAAGTCGACACACGATTAAATTTCTTGTATTTACTGAGCAATAAAGAGCATTCATATATATAAGGAGTAAAGCTTTTTGTCATTTAGAGTTTATTTATCTCTAGGTGTGACTACGATGGTCTCACCAATGATGGTAGTTGCTTCACTACACTTAGTCTCAACAATATTCCAGACGTCATAGTCAGTGGAAAGAAGGAAGACTCTCAAGCGCACTTTTCAATAGGTGTAATTTATCCCTTGAAAAGATGTGTCGATTAACTACATGTCCCTTAGAAAAAAAACTATTGTGGCAGTCAAACTTGACATCTCTATTCTAAGTCATGAATCCTAAATATGAGAAACTAGACTCTGATATTACTTATTGGATCTAAGGTGCAAGCCTACCATGGGTGAATAGGATTACCTACAATGTTTTGTGTAAACACAAATTATGCAAAAAAAATGTCAAAATACATCGATAAATGGCCAATAATCGATTATACCAAATACGAAAACAACCAACCAAAGACATACGAAATTTTAATAGTGGTTCAGATAAAATAATCCTACATTCATCTCTTACTTCTCATGAAGAGACTTCCTCGCTATGAAAGACTTCACCTAAATCACAAATCCGATTTAGTAGGCATACAGGACTGCACTCTAGTTTATCCCAAAACTAGTCGCACAATAAGGAACTGCTAGCCCTAGTTAATTCCCAACCCTCAATTTAAACGGTTTGAGTACACCGTAAAAGAAGTTCAATACAATGGAAAAACAAGTAATAGTTCAGCTCAAAACAAAAATGATCTTACAGCCCTTTTATTTAGCAAAATGTTCTTCAAATAATTGAAGTGAAGCTTGATGAAGAATGGGGATCATGATGAACTTCAAGTATGGCTCTTCTTGTTGTGAATTGATCGGATGATATTATTCGTAGCGAGTGAGTGATCAACAACGTTCCAGGGATTAAAAAAGGTTCTCCTTGATCAACTCTCCCAAACCCTAAGAGAATATCAGAAGTTGATATGCGATGAACAGCTGAGATTAAAACCTAAGATTTAGAAATTTACCATATAATCATCGATGGTTTATCTCGACCATCGATGGTGTCAAAGTGACCATCGATGTTCGATGACCCCATTGATGATCTGAACCTCTCTAGACATTTGCATGACCGATGATCTATTGCACCATCGATGGTCTCATGGTCACCACTGATGGTCAATGTGAAACGATTAATGGTTCACATACTGAAATCAGCTTTTGACCTGATTTTCAATTCATTTTTCCTCATTCTCGTTACATACCTATACATTTTATGTACTAGATCATCTCAAATATAGATTAGACTCAAATGAATGTTTGTTATTATACAAACAATAGTTATTGTACGGATAACGTCCTAACAGACTATAGGATCAAAAACAGCTTTGAAAATGGTCTGAGGACAAGCATTTGATTTCAACTCTCTTTTTAAATAGGCTATGATCTTATTAAGTTTCTCCATTATTACTCCTTAAACTATTAGTTTTCACATGCCTCCTAAACTGGTCAATTCGCTCTCTGTTTACCCCTTAGGCAATGGTTGGTCTCACTTTGCCCCTAAACTAATGAATTCATCCATGTTTACCTCTTGAACTAAAAACTTTAGTACCAGTTATCACCTCTGATTTATTACATTTCAGGTGTTTTATTTAACTTAGGTGAAAAAATTGAAGTTTAGATGGCAATGTGGGACCCAAAAAAAGTTCAATGGGTAAATAGAAAGTAAATTCAATAAATTAGGAGATATAGAGATACCAATAATAATTCAGGAGGTAAGAAGAGTCAAATATAATAGTTTAGAGGACAACTAAGGATTGGAACCTTTTAAGAACAAAATTCATATCACAGTTATAACAAAAAAAAACCTAATTCTGCAATGCTGCCCAATCCTCATTTCAATTGAGCTTACGTATACAAATGAAGAATTACCCACATATAATACAATCTAAACCACTATTATCTCCCATATCAGTACATATACAACAACAAAAAAAGGTGGGGAAGCAAAGAATTCTCTATTGTCCTACCACTCAATCCTTACATCCTTATCACCAATGAGTTACCCCCAAAAAAAACTCTCCCCAAATCCCTTTCACGCTCACTCAGTCAATGCACGTGCATTCTGTGCCCGTATCAATTTCACATAGAACTCAAAGGTTTCTGAGTGTCTCCACTCTGTCAACAACATCCAAATCTTTAATCCTATCAATATCAAAATCATCAAAGGGAACAAAAGCAGGCCTCCTCATCAATGGCAACTCTTTAGCCATACTCTCACTCATCGGAGAATGACTACTACTTTTACTCAGCTTAATATCCTTCCTCGCCCGTGTATTGCCCGTGGCAAACTCCTGGCTCTTGCTTATCCCCGGAGTATTCTTCCAATTACCTACATATTTTAATATCTCTTGGTCTTCTTGAGAAAGCATCGGTAATTGAGCACTTGATTTGTTTGCAGTTGAAGAGATGTTAGTGTTTTTTTCTGTGGGCGATCGGATTGGAGATTTTATAGGTGACCTGATAATTCCATTGCCAGATCTAGACTGAGTAATGAGATGATGAAGCCAAATTACTAGGTCTAGTATATAATTCTCAGTTTTATCCTTGTCGGCGTGGTATAGTGTCTCTATACGAATTAAGTTGGATTGTCCACCTGGGCTTCGGTTTAAGTCAGTCCTGAAAGTAAGAAAAAAACACAAAATAAGAAGTTGCAACAAGGTAGATTCCACAAGCAAAAATGAAACTTACGAGATTTCATAAAACTACATGAACTCTGAGGGGCCTTGCACAAAAACAACATAAATTTTTTTATTAGAGAAACTACCACGAACACTTTTTCCACTAGATTATCATATCTGGCGACAGCTAAGGAAAGTTGCCATGTGCTACGTACCTGACATGTTTCTGACAATTTAATTTATATACCTTCTAATTATCATCTCCTATTAAGGGTAGTTTAGACTTTTTATCCAAGTTGTTAAAGCTATTAGCAACAATTCCAATAGTTTATGTTATTATTGCTGCAATCTTGAAAATTTATGGTAGTTTCATGCAAAACTTCTAAAGTCCACAGTAGTTCTGCAAGTATACCTGTAAAACAGTTGTCCTTATGAATATCAATGTTACCTATTACTAAGGCTTGCCCAATCAACAACAATGCATGTTTCAGCAAACAGTGCAATGTTAACTTATTTATGAGATATAGAAAGAAATTGTTTCGTACATCAAACAGATATAAAGGCTTAAATACACCCATTAGTAATGAAGGCTTAAGATTAGGAACTAGGACCTCGGAGAATGCAAATCATATGAGAATTAAAGAAACTAGGTCATTCTAGGGGCTGCAAAAACTTTCAGAAGACAACAAGAACAAAATGAATGATAGTTTTGTTCTAGAGAAGAATTTACCCTGTGTTAGCCCATTCTCCAACCCAGCCAAAGCCGTGATGTGCCCTGACAAAGAATCAAGAATAGATTAAACATAAGAATCAAAGATTCTAAATGATGTGAATATTTCAGTTGTGTAGATGGTATACTTGGTCGTGTTATTGGCGATAGGAACTAGCCATTTCAATGTTTTCTCCATTTCAGCTTTGATTTGAGGGACTGTGAGCTACACATGCACAAAAAAGAGAAAATATGTAAGTCAGGTATTAAAATGCCCAGTATATGAAGGCAGTCTCATTGATTAGTTCTGATTCTTGATTATTCCTGGAGCAAAACAGGATATAAAGCTATATACCTCTTCCTTGACCTCAAATGATTGCAGTTTAGATCGCAAAGCAGATTTTACTCTTGGGGGCAGCCCTTGATATAATGAGTCCCTCGTGTTTGAAGGCACAGAATTCGATCGAGATACCTACATATAATGAACCAATAGTCAACAACATACATTATACATGAAGAAATATCTTACAACTTCTCTAAGAAACTTACTATAATAAAGAAGGGAAAAACAAATGGATGGAAGTCGTATGTGTGAAGAGAAAAGGTTATTGTTGTTTACAGCCTTTGCCTTCAGATGAAAGCCAATGAACCAAACTTAATCAAATAAATTTCAGATGAAAATATTAAATATTTATATTTCTGCTCAAAGTAGTAACAAACAGCAGAGTTTCAACTACGTGTTGCTCAAAGTTGGAATTGAGATCCAAACATAGAAACTACAGCACAAGAGAATGACTCAGTACAGGAGGTAGAACCATGTTGATCCAACTAGCTTCAACATTGCAGACAATATATGCTCATTTTTAAAAAGTTTGAAGGTAGTGGATCTTAAGGCGTAACATCACGAGGCAAAAGACTGAACCAAAGAAAACAAGAGCGGTGAAAACTAAAATATAGATGGAATGTTATAAATGTGAGAAGAGAGGAAGGAACTTACAAGAGTATCAATTTGACTAATAATATTTGCATAGTGCAATGCAAGGCCAGCTGAACCTAATCTTTGGTGACTGTTGATGGATTTTCTCACAGGTCGATCTCCATCTACAATTTACTCCAAATTAATTATAAAATACAGAAAACGCATTATGTGACAAACAGGCAAGAAAAAAAGAAAATGGATATTTTATTGTTAAAAAACTAAAAATTTACCTCAGTGAGTCTTCAAATCATAACTGTCAAATCAATTATACGGGCAAACCTTATGGATCCAATTCTATTGATATTATTATCAGAAATTTAGGGTAAAGTGATCTGTTTCACTCTTTGGCTTTGTTGTGTCTTAAAGTATAATATCCGTTTAATTATGCTGACTGACTTTATGGGTTTTATAGCAATCTGTGTCCGCAGTCACCTTGGCCAGGAATCGGACACCGAATTTAAGGGTTAAAGCTGTGGAGCTTTTGATCCTAAAAATTCTCTCACAAAATTCTCTCACGTCTTTAATGGATCCTTATTGATAGGAAAAGCATTACTAATGATGCAATGGAAAAAGATCCAACTCTACAAAATTGTTGAAATATTTTCACACATTCATGATATATATGACAACACAAGGTTTTACTTCACTTGCATGTTGCATCCCCAAGCATAAAGACAGATACCTCTGTAGTCTTACCAGTAGCTGTCTCAGCTCAAAGTTGCATGTGCTTGTGCAACAACTTTACTTCAACTTTCTTAGATAGGTTTCCAAGTTTATTTTCATTGAAGAGACCCAACACGGAGATTTGTCTATTTTGTGCCTTAGGAGTGAAAACAAATCACTACATAACTTGAAATAGTTTAGGAGTGAAAACAAATCACTACATAACTTGAAATAGTGTCCCTTTGTCAAGACCTCCAAAGTGTAGGAGAATCTTAAAGATCCCTAATTCATGAGCTTTTAATGTCAGGCCAAAAAGAAATGGCGTTCAACCAACTTGCAAGTGTAATGTATGGCAAGGGACTCCAATGCAAGCTCAGTTCACTTGGAAAGGAAATAAATGTGATGTACATAAACACACATTATATAAGTTGCCAATGATGAGATTTTATTATGAACTAAAGACCTCTTGAAATGTGATGCTCTGATTCAATGTCAGATTCTCTTTCCATATCTGTTAGCTTAACTTTATAATCAACATGAACAATATAAGATATAAGAAGAGATAACATGTATGCATGGCTTTAGAAAAGAGCCAAATATCTTGCCAAAGGTTGTTGTTCCCTACCCTTTCTGAAAAGGTAAAAAATAAAAACAAACAAAAAAAAATTAATTATAAAAAAAATTAAAAAAAAAGACAGGTGCTTGACCACTTGAAAAATGATACTAAAACACTTTACTTAGTGCATCAATAGAGGCTACCAAGACAATTGGTTAAAAAAGTTTCACAAAAGACAAACTGCAACAATTTCCCTAGTAGTTGTTCAAAGTTGTTCGACCTTCAAAAATGTGCCCTGCTATTCCACCTAACAAGACAACAACAAAATCTTTGACTTTGAATCACCTACCTGCCTTTATTAGGCCTGACTAGCCGCAAAACAAAATATGAGTGTTGTTGCAAGAAAATTAATCTTTCAACTAGAACCCTAGATGCTTATTTAATGCTAATGTTGGCTTTTCTCCTTTAAAACTAGATTTATCCCCTAAAACTAGCCACTCCACAACAACGTATATACTAAATGAACATAGTTTGTAACTGGGTCAGAGACCATTTTATAAGTCAGAAATTTTTTGACAGCAACAGCACTTATACTAAGTGGAAATTTGAAATTCAGACTGTTATATTTACAAAAGAAAGGACAAGAAAGATAAAAATAGTAACTTTGTCAAGTTTAAGCATGTCCTGGGAAATGGCTTATTTAAGGAAAAACACAATGTACCTGCAGTTCCGAAGGCATCATGAATTTCCAAATGTAAAATGTGAACGATGTCTACAAGCTTCTCTATAACCTGCAATGAAGGTATATTATAGTTTGTTATAAAAGTTATTATTTGAAACAACTAGAATTTGAAATTGGTATAAATGTGTGATGACATCTTGAGCAAGACATTAGATGTCATAGAAATTCTTTTCCTTTTTTTCTCTTTCTTCCCCCCCCCCCCCCCCCCGGGAGGATCAGATGTATCCAGCCTTACCCCCTCATGCGAAGAGGTTGTTTCCGAGATTGGAACCTATGACCTCTAAATCACAAGGCAGCAACCATATCGTTGGGCCAAGACTCAACGTCTATGTCATAGAAAATGTTGAATAAGAAAAATTACATGCGAAGGAAGAAAATGGCGCTTATAGGTGTAAATTAAAAATTTTATATCGAGGTTAATAAAAGATTTAACTAATAAAATAAGAATTAGCTTGTAAGTTGTACTCCTTAGTGAGCTTAACTTAGTAACTGATGTGACATGATTCATAGCGCAGCTAACTAACGAACAAAGGCGTATGCTCCTAATGTTATTCTTTTGTGGCTAGCTATATAGCATTAACCCAGTAAGTTGAGACTGTTAACATAGTTGATTGTACGTTCCTGATTGTTTCCTTTAGTGCCAAATTGTTTAGGAGACTAGCAAAATTACCCAGAATACAATGAAGAGATTATCCCATTTCTCCCAAAAGCTCTATAATTATCAGAGACAGTAATCGAGCTGGGTCAACCTTCCCTACAACCTTTTTAAAGTTGGAGTCATGATCCATAATCAAATTTTAATGTAGGAAAAGGCAAACATGATTATGAAGGCTTGAATGTCACATGTAACTTAGTACCAGACTTACCTCTTCTAAGCTCCTTGACCACAGTGATTTTTTCTTTAAGCTCTTTACATGTTTCCGTTGGCTCTTCAACTCTTGCCTTAGAATTTGAAGATTATCACCTATAAATCAATGGAGAAATATATGGCCGAAGGAAAATTAAGATCAACATATAATTCATTCCAATAAACTTTACTTTATACAAAATCACATGCTTAAAAAATACATGCTTAATCCAATATGTTTGGAAGTACTAAAAAAATAGCATGATCATAATTCGTAAATATAGTGCTAACAATCAAAATAGAAATGTTATAACTTTTAGCATCAGTAAATATATACGGGTTTGATGGTTGTGATGGTTGTGAGGTGACGGCTCATTTAATAAATAAGCTACAAGAGATACAAATGGTGAGGTCCACACGTTTTTGTTAGGGAAAATATCAGATACGCTCTGACACCCGTCCTGCGGAATTTGCCCTACCGGATCTTGTGATAAGCAATGGAAAAAAGAAATCACAACAAATCAAAATTACAAGAACAGAGAATACCGAGTTTTAACGAGGTTCGGCAACTTGCCTACGTCCTCGGGAGCCACACAAATAATTTCTTTTATATTAAAGAAGATTACAAAGCTTGTAAAAGAGTAGATCTCAAACTTGAGATCTCTCAAAAGAAGAGCCAAACAGAAACTCTCTGTTGTTCAAATAAAAGGCGCGAGATTTTACAACAGTAAAATCTCCTCTCTCTCTCTCTCTCTCTCTCTCTATAAATGCTACAGGAAATCAGATTAAATGAGCGAGATTTTCTTCTAAAAATCTCGAACTCACTTAATGGCCGCCGTCTCTGAGGTTGTCGCTGAGAAGAAGAAGAAAAACGCGGCTACACTTTTTCTCTCGTGCACAGGGTTCCCTTAAATAGGGAAACCCTATGGCTAAAAGAGGAGTGGGATCCAGCTGGATCCAACGCAGCAGGCAGGCGAATCCGCCTTAGCCTCCAAGTTCACAGCAGGCGAGAGTCCCTCTCCACACACAGGCGAAAGAGGGTGAGGGCGAAAACTTCGAGCTCGCCTGCTCTCTATCAAAAGCTCGCCTGCACTCATCGACTTGATGACCTCGCCTGTAGAAAAGCTCCAGCTTCGCCTGAGGGTCTCTCTCTCGATCTCGCCAGATCTTGAGCAAGCCGCCTGCAAGAGGACGTCGCCAGAAGTCCGCCAGCTTGAGTTCGCCAAACGAAACCTCGCCTTCGCCCAAAATCCAAGCTCGCCTGCAGCTAGGGTTTCGAGCTCGCCCGCTTGAAGCCCTCTTCAAGCTCGTCGTCGAAGCTCGTCGCCGACCAGGTTTGTGTCTACACTCTGTTTTCCAACAATCTCCCACTTGGAGACCAAACCGTCATCAGGAAGCTCTCTCTTTACAAGCATCTTCTCCTGTGTGGCTCCGCCCTCATCCCTTACATATGAAGGCCAACTGAAGTTGCGCACAACTCCAGTTTCTGAATGATGACTACTTTAGTCAACATATCTGCAAGATTTTAGCTCTCCAAAATCTTTTCCAACTGTAACTTTCCGTCCTCAATCATCGAGCGTATGAAGTGGTAACGTAACTCGATGTGCTTCGTTCTGACATGAAATACTGGGTTCTTGGCAAGGTGTATAGCACTCTGGCTATCACAATAAAAAACTTCGTTCCCCCGCTTCAGACCCAACTCTTCCAGGCACCCGGTTAACCAAATCATTTCCTTACTCGCCTCGGTCACTACGACATACTCTGCCTCAATTGTGGACAACGTCACAATCTTCTGCAAACATGAGACCCAGCTCACTGCGGTCGACCCTAAGGTATAAACATACCTCGTGGTGCTTCGCCTTGTATCACGATCACCGGTAAAATCTGCATCCACGTATCCCTACAGTACCAACTTCTTTCTCCCGAAACACAGTGGCATATTCGTAGTCCCTCTCAGATATCGCAATATCCACTTCACGACCTCCCAATGCTGCTTTCCTAGGTTGCTTGCAAACCTGCTCACAACTCCCACTGCATGAGCAATATCCGACATCGTGCAAACCATTGCGTACATCAGACTATCAATGATTGATGAATACGACACCTTACTCATGTGCTCCTTCTCTGCATCAGTCTTGGATGATTGTTCACTAGACAGTTGAACTGGCTTCCAAGGGGCGTGCTAACAACTTTAGCAATCTGCATGTTGAATCTTTGAAGTACATTCTCAATGTATTCAGACTGACTCAACTTCAACGTCCCCTCAACCGCATCCCGACTGATCCGTATCCCAAGAATCTGCTTCGCTGCACCCAGATCCTTCATGACAAATTCCTTTGCTAACTGCTTCTTCAGCTTGTTTATCTCCTGTAAACACGGTCCTGCAACTAACATATCATCGACATACAGCAATAACACGATATAGCTGGACTCGAACCTCTTGAAGTAACAACAATGATCTGAATTGCATCTGCCATAACCATTGCTTTGCATGAAGTTATCGAACTTCTTATACCACTACCGTGGAGCCTGTTTCAATCCGTATAAGCTCTTCTTGAGCCTACACACCATCTCTTCCTTTCCTTCCTCAATGAAGCCAACAGGTTGCTTCATGTAGATTTCTTCATCCAAGTCACCATAAAGAAAGGCAGTCTTCACATCTAACTGCTCAAGGTAGAGATTTTCAGCAGCTACAAAGCTCAACACCATCCTGATGGTTGTGAGCTTCACAACGGGAAAAAATATCTCCGTATAATCCACTCCTTCCCGCTGTTGGAACCCCTTTACGACTAATCTGGCCTTGTATCTCTTCCTTCCATCACTCTCCTGCTTGACTCGGTAAACTCACTTGTTATGTAAGGCCTTCTTCTGTGCAGGTAGCTGGGCTAACTCCCATGTCTCGTTCGAGTGGAGAGAATCCATCTCTTCTTGCATTACATGCTCCCACTGCTGAGATTCGCTCACTTGCATAGCCTCCTCATAGCATTCTGGTTCTCCGTCATCTGTCAAAAGTAGGTAATCTAGTGACGAGAGATACCTGGGATTCGGTTTGGGTACCCTGGATGACCTTCTAAGCTCCCCGTCCTGGGTTGTCGGTTCTACACCTGGAGTCTCCTCCGTTCTTCGGTCAGAATTGACATTATCTCCCCTATCTGGAAGTTCCTCCAAATCCATATACTCAGATGCGTCTGCATCCGTAGTGCTGCTCCCACTGCTTTGGTCTGCCTTGGCATTGTCCATGTCCTTATACATCACTTCCTCATTGAATATGACGTCTCGGCTCCTGATAATTTTTCTGTTCTTCTCATCCCACAGACGATACCCGAACTCATCAATACTGTATCTAATGAATGTACACTTCAGTGACTTAGCTTCTAGATTGTCCCTGATCATTGATGTGGACATATGCCACGCACTCAAAGACTCTCAAGTGTGAGAGATTAACCTTCTTACCACTCCAAACCTCTTTCGGAATCCCAAAGTTCAATGGAACTGATGGCCCGTGATTTATCAGGTACGCTGCTATATGCACCGCGTCCGTCCAAAAGGTTTTAGGTAGACCTGCATGTAGACGCATGCTCCTCGCACGCTCTGTCAGCGTTCTGTTCATTTTTTCTGCTACGTCGTTCTGTTGCGACGTCCCTAGAGTAGTCCTCTCCAAACGAATCCCGCTCAGAGCACAGAACTTCTTGAACTCCTTCAATTCATATTCTTCACCATTGTCTGATCTTAAACACTTCACTTTCAGATCTGTCTCATTCTTCACCATGGCTTTCCACTTCTTAAAAATGTTAAACACCTCTGACTTATGCTTCATAAAATATACTCACACCTTCCTCGAGTGATCGTCGATAAAGGTGACGTAGTACGTCGAACCGCTAAGAGAGGACACGCTAGCTGAACCCCATACATCTGTATGAATAAGCTCTAGCTTGTGAGCTTTAGGTGGTCTTCCACCCTTCAGAAAACTAACTCTTTTCTACTTTCCGAAGATGCAGTCTTCGCAAACACCGACTTTCACCGAATCGATACCGGTTAGTTTCCCTTCTGAGTGTAGAATCTTCATACCCTTTTCATTCATGTGTCCCAGCCTATTGTGTCACAGATCTGCTCTCTTTGTCTTGCAGCAATCGCGAGGGTGTCACTCGCGTGTGAAGTTAGGTAAAGGGTACTGGTTTTGTTACCACGGGCAACCACCATTGTACCGTTGGAGATTTTTCACGAATCTCCGGTGAATGTTATAACATAGCTTTCTGCTCCAAGCTGACCTACCGAAATAAGATTCTTCTTCAACTTCGGTATGTGTCTGACATTCTTCAGAGACCACTTAGAGCCCTTCAACTGTATTTGCACGTCGTCTCTTCCAATGACACTACAGGGTTCATTATCCCACAAGTATACTTTTCTAAAGTCCCCTGCTACATAGTTCTGAAATAACCTTCTATTAGCAGTGACGTGAAAAGATGCTCCCGAATCAATGACCCATGAATCAGAATCGCTATCCATAGCGAGAATCAATGCATCTTGCACAATATGAGCCTCCTGCTCATTTTTCTTCGGTGCTTTACAGGTAGAAGACATGTGGCCCTCCTGGCCGCAGTTCCAATATTTCCCTTTGATGGGTCTCACCTTCGAGTTCGATCTCTTTTTCTTTGACTTCGATCGATTTCTGTTTTGATTCCCCCTACTATGGCTTCTGTCTCTCTGCTCGAGACTTAGGGCTGAACCTGATCCTTCTGATTCATTCGATTTTCTTCTAACCTCCTCGGATAGAATCATAGCTACCACCTCCTTCAACTTCAACTTCTCTTTCCCTGCCGAGTTGCTTATTGCGGTCCCTGCACTTCGTCATCAAACTTGATGTCGACTGAGATAAGTTGATCAACAATCGTGTTGAACTCGCTGAAATGCATCGTGAAGGAACATACTTCTGTCATCTTGAGGTTGAATAGCGTCTTGACGAGATGCACCTTATTTGTAGCTGACGGTTTCTCGTACATCATTGCGAACGCTTCCATAAGCCACACCGTCGTCTTCTCCTTTAATATATTGTGTGCTACAGATTTTGCGAGGGCTAATCGGACCTACCCCATGGTTTTTCGATCCAATATTTCTCA